CTTTGTGTCAAGACTAGTTATGTTTTTGTGTAAGGTGGGTGTCGTAAATGTACGTCATTCATTATCCTGTGTAAGGTGGGTGTTATGAATGTACGTCATTCATTATCTTGTGTAATGTGGGTGTCGTAAATTTCATCATTCATCATCTCGTGTAATGTGGGCGTCGTAAATGTACGTCATTCATTATCTTGTGTAAGGTGGGTGTCGTGAATGTACGTCATTCATTATCTTGTGTAATGTGGGTGTCGTAAATGTACGTCATTCATTATCTTGTGTAATGTGGGTGTCGTAAATGTACGTCATTCATTATCTTGTGTAATGTGGGTGTCGTAAATGTACATCATTTATTATCTTGTGTAATGTGGGTGTCATAAATTTTCATCATTCATCATCTTGTGTAATGTGGGAATCATTTATAAAGCCACTACAAACTTTTTCTTGTGCCCCGGTTGACATTCAGACTGTTTTATAATAGGCTCTCCTACAGTAGAAGAAGAATCTAAAGCACCCCCTACTGCTAGTGGTCCCGTGCCACTCAACACAATGGATTCACACGTAAACCAGCAGCAGGACTTGCAAGTATTTACCGTGGGTTTTTTTCTGGCTCAACTGCTAGGAGTCTTGTGTGTAGCTTTGGCTGGGGCTTGGAGTGGTCACTACCTCGGTGGATTTGCTTGGCAAAGTGTGCCAAGTTTGCAGTTTAACTACCATCCATTGTTTATGGTTATAGGACTTGTCTTTCTGTATGGAGATGGTAAGTTATTTTTTATTTACCACTAATGTATCATATACATGTAACGTAAACTTGAAAGGTAAACCATGTACACTTTTATAAATGCTGAATATAAACAAAGGGATATGTAAAATTAAGTACACAATAATTTGACATCTAACTTCTCCGGTTTGTCTTCGTTTCTTTATATTTTCAGAATTTTACACTTTGTTTTACGTGTATTCGATCGACAAACTTGTTCACAGTTACAGATACTAAAAGCAAACTGGGTCTCTATATGGTTTTATTTCTTTTTATGTAGTTTTTCTTAAGTCTGTTTTATGCTAGCGACACGTTGAATAGTCAATGTCCAAGTTTAAAACTTAATTTATACTGAAACATTGTTAACAATATTCATTAAATCCACCTGGTGGTTCAATGGTAAGGCTTAAAGGCTAAAACTCTAAAAATTGAGCTTTGTTGTCTTGACACAAAGAAGTTGATGAAACATAAACATAACTAGTCTTGACACAGAAAAGTTGAGAAAACCAAAACATAACTAGTCTTGACACAAAGAAGTTGATGAAACCTTCAGAATAGACAGACAATAGCAAGTGTTGTATTTTCAAGAGTTATTCTGTTGAAAGTACATTTTTTAACTTTGTCTAAGTGAGTATTATAAGTAAACCAAAAGGTAAGTTCAAGTTATGAGATCCACCACCAAAGGATACGCTGTGTACTGTGAGGGATAATGTTTGTCCAGTTTTCAAAGCAAGAAGTATATAAACTCAAATATTTTGTAAAGAAGCTATGTGTCTTCTTACGAAGAATTAATAAATGAAACACAAACAAAAGATCGACAGTTTTAAAATAACTACAAGGACTGTTTCTTCTTAAGTACATTACAAAGAGAAATTAAAAATCGCTATAATATGAATCTTGCACTAGTATTTCTACCATGTTATTAAAAATGGTAAATTGTGCATATTTTTAAGTAACCACTTACAATCACATAGTTTAAAGTACAGTATCATATGCATGAATTATCTAACATTGGTGAAATTATTAGTTTGGTTAAATACTTCTACTTTACAGAATGAAACTTTTGTGTTCTTTAAGATGAATTTTAATAAAGGCATAAACAGGGTGTTAGTGGACCCAAGTAAAGGAAAACATTACCCTATTTTATGGTAACAAAGTTGCATCCAATTGTATGAATATAGTTACCATGTAAAAGTTTTAAGTTATTGCTGTTTGCTTTTAAAGAGTATATAATTCATTATACTGTGTAAGGTGGGTGTCGTAAATGTACGTCATTCATTATCCTGTCTCCAACAATACTACCTTCACAAGTTTTACAGAGTTCAAACTGTGTTTGAACTCTGTAAAACTTGTGAAGGTAGTATTGTTGGATACACTTCAGAATAGATAGACAATGGAAACTGTGTTTGAAATCTGTAAAACTTGTGAAGGTAGTATTGTTGGAGACACTTCAGAATAGATAGACAATGGAAACTGTGCTTCAGAATAGATAGACAATGAAAATGTCTCCAACAATACTACCTTCACAAGTTTTACAGAGTTCAAACACAG